TAGTGTATAATCATCTGAAAATAAGAATCATTGTTGAACCACCATGTTTCTACAGTAGCCCAGACAATTATAGATACTTCCAGGTACGGTCACATCCACTGTAGTTTCTCCTAAAGGCTTGGAACAGGAGGGTGAAGCGAGGGCGTTGCAATCAGCAACTACACAGCTAGATGCCACTAAATCCTACACACTGGTCCTTCAAGCAAAAGCACGAATTATAAGGGAAACAATGGCTCGTTATAGGCTGCTATATGGAAGTGAATGTCTGTGAGTTTGTAGTGCAGAAAGCAGAAATATTTCCAATAAACATGCAAGTGTGTCAAATTTCTACTTAAGTACAGTGCTAGAAAATGTACTTAGTTACTTTCCACCCCTGAAGTCGATACGTCACCCACACATGCCGTCTTGGACTGCGTCTCGAATCGTATTTTCAAAAAAGGCTTTTTTTCTTATTTTTCTTGTCCTTCACCTCGCTGCTGACCGTTAACCAGTGACGTGTTTAAATCAGCCGGCTGCTGTTTGTAATCCAATCAGCTTTAAGGAATGAGTTGTTGGCTCAGCATTTAATCCAATCAGTTTTTAGAAGTGAGTAGTTGCCGGCCAGAATCAATCAGGCCGGCCCACCTGGTAATCAAATCCAATACAATGATTTACCGTACGGCCGTGAAATGTATTCAGACTGCGTTCTGCCTCCCTGTTTTGTCTCCCTCTCTGTTCCTTCATGTTTAGATTTTCTCCTTTGTGTTTCCTCCCTCTTCATCTCCTCCTTGCTGCTCTACTCCTCCTGTTTTGTATTCATATACATGCGGACTTCCTCTTCCTCTCTGGTCGTGTCTTTCCGAGCAATTTCCTTGACTTTTGTTTCTTGGAGACACTGATATGAAAGGCTGTTTTGGCTGATGAGTCCAGTGGGAAGCTGGTCATCATTAAGAGGGCAGACGGCATGTGGAGGTATCGGGGTATAATTTAGAAGTCCTGGATGAGCATCAACTGCTAGAATAACGGCATTGTCCTGAAACAATAGTGTGATGATACGCAGCGGCGAGGGAGTGCACCTGAGGGGGGAAACCTGACCGCAGTGCTAATAAACACACCTGGATCACCACATTGACACTGGTATTAGGGCGCGGCTGTGGCTCAGGAGGTAGAACCCCTCTCATCAGACGGTTGGCGGTTCAATCCCCGATCCTCTTTGAGCAACATACTGAACCCCGAATCGCTCCTGATCGGTCCTAAATGAGTTAGTTTGTGTTTGTGTTGGCCTTCACTGTATGAATGTGTGTGAATGTGGCTGCAGTACATACACGTACAGTCTATTCACCATCTATTTACTGCAGTTAGATTGTTTTTCATTCAGATTGAAACTGTTGGGATTGAAGACTTCAGCCCAACAAACAGCTGTGTGACGCATCATGAAGAGGTAGAGGTCCGATAATGTTTACTTCTGAGGTGTTTATGAAGCATCTGTATTCAGTTTGGGATTTTAAAACAACCATAATCTGAATATTAGGCTCCGTGTAAACATAGCACAGTTATAAATATCAGTAGTGATGGGCTGAACCTCATCGTAGCGTTAGCCACTGAATGCTAACACAGTTATTAGGAAAGAGGTTTTTATTATAAACTAAAAGCATTCATTCATTAGGTTGAACAAATCTTTTGCCTTCAGAGACTCACCATGAGACGGCCGGGAGGGGGGAGTTTAATGTGCCTGACTGTCCCCACAACGTCAGTAACACAAGTTGAAACACACACACAGGCTCTCAGTGCTGACCTCATGCATGGCTGATTCATGGCTTATTCCCCTGGGTCCATTTCTACAAGGACAGGTCCATAGGGATGTTAAATGTGTGTGTGTGTGTGTGTGTGTGTGTGTGTGTGTGTGTGTGTGTGTGTTATATCATATATGACTCAAAAGGGTGGGGGGGGTTAGGTCAGGTTTATAACCCCGTGCTGGAACATCTGAAAGAGTTTCAATAATTCATATGGTCTGTATTTGCATCTCTCTCTCTTACACACACACGAACACACACACACACCCCCAGAAAATAAGAGAGTAAATGTTTCCTTTCAGATACATGCACTTATGCAACCAAGCACACACACAAACACATGCACGCACACACACACACACACACACACACACACACACACACACTCCAATGCACACTGATACATTCCCACACTGTAACATGGGTTTAAAGCACACACACATACACAAACACTCGCTCTGACAACCGTTTCAACCAGGTGGTCGTAAAAAGCATCTTCTGTTATTCTTCCTCTCCTCCTCGCTCTCTCATCAGCCTCTCAGGTGGTCTCTCTCTCTCTCTCTGAAGTTAAATCAACCTCCCTCTCTGTGTGTGTGTGTATGTGTGTGTGTGTGTGTGTGTGTGTGTGTGTGTGTGTGTGTGTGTGTGTGTGTGTGTTGTCATGAGATGCAGCTCGTCTAGCGTGCCAGACAGCCTGCATCGCATTTGTGACCTACTTTGGTTGGGAGTGTGTATTTTTTATGAGCCTGGGAGATGCAGACTGCTCACAGTGCGAGGGGAGACGTAAGCGTCCACACACACACACACACACACACACACACACACACACACACACTTTGAAGAGCATGCAACGACACACACAAACACACAACAAGATGTTTTTTCATATGAAGCAGCACCTACTCACGCACATACCTTATGCCACTAAGGATCCTGGTTGGCATAGAGACAGAGTCTGACAGCTCTCACAGAAACACCAAAACACACAGATGGATAAAGGATAAATAATCAAAATCTACATGTAATGATGTGTACATACATAGACTTCAACAACAGAGCGAACACACCAGTCTGCTCTCTTCTGAGGAGGTTTGGGGTAAAAGGAAATGCTTAAGTATCATCACGCCTGAGTGGCATTTCCATGGCCAAAAGCTTGTTTAATTCAGCCCCCTAAGCTTTTCAAACAGAGTTCCCAATTAATTTTTAAATTACGGCGCAGACTTGTTGACTAGCTTCTGACACTTGAGAAATTATGTTAATTTCCACACCTCTTATTACGCCGGAGTCGGCTCGCTCCCGCTGCTCGGGATGTTGAATCAATGAAATGCCTTGTACGCCTCGTGGCTATAGAGCCGAACACACTGCTGCTTTACAACGAAGAGAACTGCAGAACACACACACACACACAAACACACACATTTACCAGCTCTGTGCTTAGGCAACACTTGACCATACACAGCCACTAGTGCAAATGAGCACACACACACACACACACACACACACACACACACACACACACACACACACACACACACACACACACACACACACACACACACACACAGTGTTCATTACTGGTCCTGCTTTCACTCTCTAACCTGAACCCTTAAACAAACCTGAGCCTTATCATACACCATAATAATATTCATAAGCTTAAACCTAAACATTATGGACAGTGTGCAAACTATACCTTTGCTTTCAGGGTAGCACTCTTTTTCTCACATAACAGAGCAACAAATAACGATCCAGTGTGCAGAATGTGAAGTATTAAAGGGTGAAGTTAATGATATTCCACTGCTTTGATTCAATGCATGCCAGTATCTTTATTAAAGTGAATAAGATCACCCTCATGCATGAATCCTACATCAGTATTAGCCCAATTGTACGTATGATTCATGATTGATGATGATGAAGATACAGAAAGAAATGCATGGCAAGACCCACCAATATTTCACAAATCATGTTTTCAGGGGAGCTCTTGTCTCATTAAGAGGAGTGCAGCTCCCTCTGGCTCCACAACGTGTAGTTCACACCCTGATTATGGAAGAGTATCACTGCCACACCAGAAACAGAAAATATGAAAAGTTTGTTGTTATAACAATATAAGTTGTCACATTATGTAAGGAGTAATGCCCGACCTCGAAGGGTTCTATCCTGCTTATACCATGGTCACTTGCCAAGAAAAGTTAATAATATATATTTTTGTGCGTTTTGCAATCAAAATAACGTTTTTTAAAAGCCATAACTTTTTCTGGTAACACCTGAACTCTTTCCCAGCACCTGGAAGAATCATTACCATCCCATAATGGTATAATGCAATGGAAATATTGTTCCGTACTCCAGTAAATAGGATGAACCATGGATAAGACTAACGTTATACACGCAAGATTCAAAGTCAATAACACTGTATAGTCACCAAACACTGAATATAATTTGACAGTGTGTTTAACCACAAGACAACCTATCAGCCATGTCTTTGTCCCCAAATCAATACGGGGGGGTAAAGCCGGGTTGCTACAGGGGGCCATCTATATGGGATATTTAATAGGAGTTAATGTTGAAATCTGCACTGCCATAAAATGAGAACCAGCTGATATTTACTGAAATCAGGTAAACCAAATTATGGATAAATTGGTTGCACAAACCAGCATGTAAACTGTGAATTAGAATAGAACTTAACATAACTTAACCCTAATGCTCCCCGAGTCGTCTTCAACAGCTCCAGGTCAGGTTTATGCAGGTATAGTGCAAGTGCTGAGCCATTACACTGCCTGTGTAGACAGTTGTATTGATTTAATTAGAAGTGCATCTGCTCCGTGAGGTCATGAGGTGGATGACTGAAAATCACAGCTGAAACACTTTCAGTCCAGACATGCTGTTAGCTTTGTTCAGGACAAAGACACTCATTTAATGCAGTTAATAATGTCAGAGTGTGCTGTGGACAAAATGGCTGACATTGAATATCAGTACTATAGAAGCTGACGGTCTTGGATCCAGCAGACTTCCATTAGTGCTGCTGCATCTTCAGTCACTTCCACGCTGGATTCGGGCCCATTCGCCCTGCTGGGTTCTGTCCTATTTTTCTTGTAGTTTCTGAATCAGTATCTGCTGAGGCTAATCAACACGTACTGCGCTCTAGCTCTTTAAATGTCTTTCTGTGTTGGATGTGCTGTTGATAAGTTAAATAATGACCATTATTTCCCTTCCTCTTTCTTTTCTTTTCCACAGAGTTGAAAGAAACAGTATCAAGGATAAAACTCACCCCTGACACCAGCTCCTAGTTCCATCCCACTGTCCGCCCCCCCCGAACCCAACCTCCCCTCACCCCTCTCACAGCTCCAGGGCTCTCCAAGGGTTCCTCGCCGGGTTCTCCAAAGGGTTCTCTGTGGTGTTCTGGAAAGCTCCATACGCCTCGGGGCCTCGGACCTTCATGCGTCTCCCAGCGGCAGAGTCCACCCACACCTCCACCCACCACACCACCACCACCACTACCATGAGCTGTGAACAGGAGTTTGGAGACGGGGCAATGGGAGTCACGCTCACACTGCGCCTCCTCATGCACGGAAAGGTGAGAGATACTCGGGATAAAGCTGCAACAAATCCAATGCAAAGACCAAATCCAATGCAAAGACCAAATCCAATGCAAAGACCAAATCTAATGCCAAGACCAAATCCAATGCAAAGACCAAATCTAATGCCAAGACCAAATCTAATGCAAAGACCAAATCCAACAATGAACTGATCCAACAGGTACTCAAGTGCCTGTGCCTTACACAAACTATTACACACACTGTTGTTCCTTCATTACCATAAGCACACTGTAGTTTATTTTGACTCAGTCACACCGTCCTGTTGCCCCAAATTCTCACTAGAGCACCAAATGTGGACTACTCCGCCATTGAAAATAGTCCCCTAGAAATGCACTTTTTCCTCCTTTGTGTTTGATGATATAAACTGCACTGAGCAGCTGTTTTAGGACATTTCTGAGCTTTCTTAAATAATGAAATGTCTTTTAAAGATTTACGTCTTCAGTTGGAACCAATGGGTTTGGGGTGGAGAGCCATGCACAGACAGGTTTGGGGAGTATTTAAAGACGGATTAACGCTGTTGGTTTTAGTGTTTTTATGGGATTTGTTGACAGTAAGAAAAGAAGCCTTATCCTTTGCAGCAGTAGTTCTCAACCTTTTTGGTGTCAAGGACCCCCAAATTAAAACACATCAGGCTGTGGACCCATTTTTTGATCAGATGTAGACATCCATCTAAACATGCAAATTGAACTCATTTCAGAAATGATTGTTTGGGGTTTGCTTTGTCTTTTTGGTGAACTATTTGGTCTCTTCTCTGCTGATTCACCAGTCAACTAAATGACAAAACTGTGCCAATGAAAAAAACAAAAAAGGATTTGATTTTGTTTTTTAGTTTTATGTTTCAAGGGGGAAAATAAAATGTTGACAGCATGAAAGCTTGTTTCAGCATCCTGTGCAAATGCACGACCCAAAAAGCAGATTTTAGAGTTTAATTTATGACGTGAGGTGATGACAAATTAATGCCTCGGATTCCAAAATAGGAGTTAAAGACAGAGAAGAGTTTCTGATTGGCTGTATAGCTGGACTGACTGAGGGGGGTGTTAAAATGCTCCCTCTGAATGCCTTTTATAAAATAACATTTGGATTTAACCCATCGACAAATAAAGATGGACAGTGTGTCTCCACTTCCTCCCACTGTACAAACAGAAGTCAAAATATCCAGGATACAGGCGCTGCCATCTTGCACTGCTGATGTCATTACTGCGCGGTATTGATCAGGGTCAGTGATCAGCTGACTCAGCCGTCAATCATGACGTGAAATCCCTTTTATAGCATTAAATAACTAATTAAAACCAAACTTAAAAACAAAGATTTACCCTTGAACATACATCAGCGTGACAAGAACAGTATAAAAAGACAGAAACCATCTTTGGGAAAGATTTATTTGACGGATTTGGCCGGGGTGAGGATTATGACCTATACTGCAGTCAGCCACCAGGGGGGCGATCAATATGTTTCACTTTCGGGGATGTCATTTCGTCCATCTTTATATACAGTCAATGATTTAACCGTTTCAAAGCCAAAGAATGCATTTATTAATCAGAGCGCTCATAAGAACGTAGCAGAGAGCAATCAGCAGGTGGAGGCGCGTACAAACCGCTGTTTGTGGCTCACAGCTCTCTCATGTGTCTCAGCCAATAGTAGCACTGGGCCCGCTGTATATAAAGTTTTGTGTGTCTATCTGAGGATCACTATAGTGACATTTTCTGTTTGTATTTTCTCCACAGGAAGTAGGAAGCATTATCGGCAAGGTGAGTTTATACCTTTTCCTTATGTACTGCAGCAGAGACAGACAAATACTCAGGTCACTGAATGCAGAAGACAAAAGCCTGAATGTCAGGAAATGAAAATGACGATCCTGCCAGAAAGGATTTCAAAGGAGAAGACTCTTAAAGCACACTGCAAATGATGGCATCTATGTAATATTAATGATCCTGTTAATGACTAAAGACTATGTTACATTCGTTAAGGAAAATCTCCAGAGAATTTAAACATAAAATCTGCTGTGGCCAATATGTGACCACACATTCATCACGCCTTAATTAGGGGAAAACTTCCTTTTTTCTTTAAATCACAAAAATAAGTTTAACATTAATTTATCATTTATTATTTATATATCAGATTTACACCAGATCAATGATTGAAGTTGTTCTGGATCCAATGGTACCAAGCTTTTGATGTAACTACTTATAGTTTCTATTACTGTATAATACTATACTATACTATATTTAGTGGTTAGTCACTAGGGGTTACTCATTTTATCCCATAGGAATACGTGATAAAAATGTCTATAAAAAGGTCTATTCTATATATAACGTGTGTGTAACAAATATGATGAAGATCTGAACCATCTAACTGACTGTTTCCCTGGAAAATAGAAAAGCTGTAGCCTCGGACTTTGAGCGATTTGAAAGATATCAGTGGATTTGTTCTTAGCTCAGCCCGTACTTTAAACGCCGTCGGGGGAAAACTCCGCCATGGACATTAAAGGGTTAAATAGACTTTTTTCCCCAGCATTAGAAAACAGGATCATTTCCCAGCAACACTGATCATTAGAAAATCCTCCCCATCTTCAGACTATGGTTCTCTAAAATTGGCCTGCCACTCAAGATAGCATCCAGTGTAAGCCTACTACAACCACATAAAGTTGCCATGAAATACGCATTAATAAAGTGTAAAATTTCCAGTCAGGCCATGTCTTCCCAATCTCTACTTGCTGAAAAGGAGCTGCTCTCCAGGGATGCGAGTCAATTTAACTGTGGACGTGTTAAATAAACCCCTGTAGGATTTCCTCCAAATATATCACAGCCAAGTGAAGTGTGATAATGACCGCTGCCCTCACAGCACATTCACTAACTCCTCACTGGGCCTGATTTCCTTCTGCATATATTTAGATTTTAGATCACTTACATTGGGTGGTATATTAGCTCGCAGCTCTGACATAAAGAAGGCATGAAAATGACATCAGTGTGTTACAGTTACAGTTGGGTTGTATCAGTGTGTAGTCGTACCACCGGAGTATTAAACAAGTCTGCCAGGTGGCGGAGCAGAACTGATGCTCCTATCTGTCTTCAACAGGCTCATGTGACTGGGACAGGTGTCACAATGAGATAATGTAGTACAGCTCGGTCCAAGTTAAACAAACATAATACATGATTACTTTTTTAATGTTTATTTACAGCGAGTACACTTCTTGAGCTTCCTTCTTGTGTATAAAGTCTGCTGCCGCCCCAGTGTGGTGTTAAATGCTTTCAGATGTAACACATTCATTTAGATTCATTATAAAAATAATGTGTTAAAAACAGATATCTGCATTTTTATTGTGCATTCTGGGTAATATCATATCATATCAGTGCAGTTGGGTTATTAAACAATAAACAGTATTTCTTCATATTTAAAGTTTGTTATTTTTGCAAAATCAGATGTTTTTTAGAGTTAAACAAAGCCATGTGATGGATATAAGCTTCTTTTCAGCACAATATTTATTGTTCTTTAACATAAAAAAGTGCTGAAAATGGCAACAATTAATGTTATATGTTATTACTTAATCATGTGTTATGGCCACAGTTTTAAATTAAATTAAAGAAGACATGTATCTGGAAATTAAACAATTTATTTATATATTTTAATGTATTGATTTCTAATGTCACATTGAGGTATTTATTTTTAGTGGCACAATAATGTTTTTGAGTTCAAATATTTGGGGGCTTTTCCAAGTAATATTGATTTACGTGATTTCGTCAGAATCAGAATATATTCCTGCCACCCCATGAATATTTCCCTAGATCCGCCCGTGGCCATGTGTCACATTCACAGGGTTAGACTCAGATACCTGTTAGCAGCCACAGAGAGACTCCACCGGTGAGGCAGCTCGGGGGCATCCCGCTGGCTGTTGATTAGCAGGCAGGAAGCATCACTGGTTCATTTTCCTCTCCTGGAGTTCTCCAGTGGCTCCTGCAGCCTTCCAGTTATCACTCGCTGCTCATACAGTATCAGTAGTTTTATCCCCAGTGAAATCGCATGAAAACGTTGTGGGTGACTCTTTATTTTAGAGGTTCATTTTCAAGTAGTTTCTCAAGACGTTTCCTGGAAAGAACCATGTAATTTGACTCTAATTAGGAAAATCAGAGACAGCTTCCAACTGGTTGATTGTTCAGCTAGTGTACCCCAGAGTCAGCACGCAGCAGCTGAACGTGAAGAAAAGCGTAATTCAAGTCAGTTTTAAGTTGATTTGAACTTTTTTCAAGGAATCACAGTTTATGAACTCACCAGAATAGCTGAACACTGTTTTTGAACATTGTCTCTATTTTCTCTTCAGTTAGCCCCAAATTACACAGCGCTGTCTGAAGGTCTGCACTATTTAAACCTGAGCTCTTACCACAGAGGTGGCAGAGGAGTGTAGACAATCTCACTGTGTGAGTCTGTTTGAATCGGTCAAAGTATGAGGCTCTACTTTGTTTTAGTCATTAGTCACAGAGGGAACAATAGGTTAGCAATTACACATCTTAGACTGTTACAACATCGATTCAAAATATGTTTTTTCTTGGTCCGGTGTTGCCGTTGGAGACCTTAAAGACATTTTATAAAGTATTCCTTTGGGATAAAATGAGTAACTCTGTACTGAGTTATATCAAATGTCTGATACCATTGGATTCAGAGCAACTTGAATGTCAATAATATTTAATAATATTTCTTCTGATTTAAGTATTTTTTGTTCATCATTATAAACAAAGTATAAAATCCCCACATGGAAGTGTACAGAATATTATTCATAAAGGGAAGCTGTGTTTGATTTATATAAATAAATGTTAAACTAGAAAACAAAAGAACATAAAAATGAAACAAACAAACAAAATAAAAAACAAACAAATCAGTCACATAAGATCCATTAAAATCTGCGACTTACATTGTAGGATCCCAGTCTTCTACACTCTGAATATACAACAGGAAATGATTCCCAACCTGCTTAAATTCCCCTTTGGTATCTTTTACTCTGGCATCAGAGTAATCACCAACCTCAGCCTTCTAATCCATGTGGACTCTTCCAATTCAATAAGTCTAGGTACTGTATTAAATCCTGCTATAGGTCTAGCCCAAACTTCATTGTGGTAGCTCCATAAATCTGATATTTAATGATTGTGATTGCATTTTTAATAGAAACTACCAGTCTACCAGTTAAGGCTTGATAAATATTAAAATTTGTCCTGTGTGTCTTTACAGTCTTTGACTTTGTGTTTTCGCCTCAACTCAAAATCTGAATTCCATATTTGAGTTTTATTCTGCGTTAAAAAGATTCAGCTTTATGTTTCTCCTCTTTCCACAGAAAGGGGAAACAGTGAAGAGAATACGAGAAGAGGTAAGACCCCGCCGCCCACCCCCATCCTGCATATTCTCTCATATCTATCGCTCTCTCCTATCTCCTGTTAATCCACGATAACCCTTCAAATGCAGCTCACATGCATCCTGCTAATTACAGCATGATCAGGAAGCAGCGCAGTTCTGAACAAATCCATACCAAAACTATGAGAAACAGGAAGCATGAGCACCATTTAATCTTTATACACAACAGCAGCAGGAAAATCGTAAGCGTCCAAGTCGAAACTTGTCCCCCTGCGTGTATTTTCCCGTCATATCCGCCTATTTTTGGAAAGCAAGTTAAATATCTGAAGGTGTATTTTGTATTTTTGGCCGCCTGCTGTGATGTCGGCCACCGTGACATCTTTAGCTGTCTTTGCTGTCAGCAGCCTGTAAAATAGCAGCTCCACTCGGGGCTGTAAGTGTGGAGCTTCCCTGTGGAATATCTGTCCTCTCCGCGTTCCCATCGTTTCAAGGAAACAGAGATGCAAATAGAGAGGGAGAGGTAAAAAGTGAGACAGAGGGAGAGAGGTGGTGGGACGCTGGGACGAAAAGACAGCGAGGAGGAGAAGTGAAAGGAAGCATAAAGAAGAGAGAAACAGAGGGCTTTTAAATGACAGCATGATGCAGGGAGTGAGAAGAGGAGTGGGAGATGTGAATGTCCTCCTTCCTCTACATGGACTACAATGTTTTCACAGCAGCCATTTTGACATGAAGTAGTAATTCCAGGTGTTACCGATGACACTATCAGAGACTCTCCAGTGAGCCGACATCATTAGTCCCCCCCCCCCGGAACGGGTTCTGGTTCAGATCTGGAGTGGTCCCCGGGTGCCGCACTGATCCGAGTACTTAGGAGGGGTCAAATCAGAGAATGAGTTTCCCTACGGCGACCAATAAGGGACAACTTACTTACTCACTAACTTACTTAAAGATTGATGTAGTTTAGCTTGGCCAGTGAACTGTGTGTATATGTCTGTATCTTTTAACTGCAGTGTGGTTGTCTTCTCAACTAGCATGCTGTAGGCTAGCATCATATTCACATACTGGCAGAAACAGAATAGAAGAAGAGACAACAGTTGAACACGTTTGACAAACAATTCACTGACGGAAACTTGATTAAAACGTCTTTTTGTTACCTAGAACTAACAGAAATCAAATGACCCATATTCGACTAAAACAAGTAAACATTTCCATCAAAAGACTGAGAAGTAAACTACAGCACAGTAAAACAAACACCCTTTACTACCTTCACATGCTGCGAACACGTATTTGCAATCAGGTCACTTGCTGCAGCTGAATGAATACTTAAACATGTGGACGTATAACTTCAAATGTTCTGCCTTCATCTCTCTGAATACAGAACACTGTCAGTGTATGCAACACCTGACGCGAATACCAGAGAGACTTTCATATAGGTTAAAAGAGAGCAGAGACGTAGGTTTCCCAGAGGAGAGCCAACACTATGCTTGTCCAAACATAAAGACAGGAAGAATGTGTGTATGTGTGTGTGCAGTTCATTTAAAATGGATAACTCGTGCTATACTGCAGAAACAAGGACGAGGTGTTCTGTCACCAGTCTTATTGTTATGTTGAGTCCCCGCAACACGAGGAAGGCAAAATAACAGCCGCAGCGTCAAATGTGTGAGAACAGATTCAATTCATATTTTCTTTAACTACAGAACGAAATTAGACAAAAAAAATAGGTCACAGAACTGCTTCCGGTGTGTTTCAACAAGAAAACAATACTCCACTGTGTTTTAATGAGCCTAAATTTACTCAATTTACTTCCCTGCTTGCCTGTAAAAATGTTAAATAATAACCCACAAATACATTCTGGAGGGAGAAATTATTTTAGAAGTGTGAGTCCTCAGAGAGATAGTTTGAAGATGACTGCACATGAATCGACGCTCCAGAGAGCAGGAGAGAAAAGAGGGAGAGACAGAGTTATGTTTCCGTTTATCCATCAGGGGAATTTTCACTTAACTTGTGAAACGCCATAAAAAATAAAACGCGAATCAAGCTGAGTTTAGGCGAATCAGTTGGGCTCCAGTGTGGAAGTACAACATCCAGCAGAGACGTGGAATATGCTTTAATACAAAGACATATCAGTGTATTTATTAGTATATTGGTAAAGGTTTTAGGATGCTTTACATTTAAACTGTTTGGTTGTGAATGAATGTGAAAGCTCTCAATCGAACACTCTGAACCACATCGTGTCTTTGCAATAATCAAAGGATTTCAAGTTTCCGAAAAACATCACTGAAGTAACAAACGTAGGGCTGTTACTTTCTTAAACAATGCTCTCCTCTTCTTCTCCTCTGTAGTGAACCTGGAGATCTCTTCTAACACGGAGAGAGCTTTTTAAGACCCTGAAAATCCGTCCTGAGCAACGGTATTTGGTACGACCTGTTTACAAGCACCCGACTTCTGCATCTTATCGCCCTAAAACCTAAATGAGAGAGTTAAAGAAAACCCTGCACTGCAGAAGCAATCCAGAGTGCCCCTACCCCCTGATAATGTGTGAAACTTTAAATTAGGACTCACATAAACTCAATAATAGTTCCATCTATTAGAACTGCACAGGCCGAACTGGGTGCTTTTAACCAGGGTCCCCTAGGACCGCTACATTGGTATTTTTAGAAAGCACTAATTAAAACAGAAACAGAAAACAACGATAAGAAGACATTTGAAACAAATTGATTGTGAAATATGACAAAAAGTACCTCTGGGTACTGGCTACTTAAACTAAATGTGATCAAAACAAACTAAAACCAAATCCAAGAAGGACACCAGACTCAATTTGAAAACCTCATAAAATAATCACCTTATTAAAACATCCAAAACTAACCGAGGCATCACCTCAGTCGAGAGATTTATGGAGAAGGAGCAAACAAGAGAGTCAGAAAAAAGAAAAAGGGAAGGGAGACAAAGGTAGAGAAGAGGAAAAGAAAACAGATTGTCTTTGCCCGAGCGTTTCTCTCTGACAGCGTAACTCACAGAGCAGGAAGCATGAATATTTAAATGGATATTTGCCTCCCAAGGACAAACCCCAACACTGGATTTACAGTTCTACTGGATTTATAAGCTACGTCTTCCTCTCATTACTCTTCTATATTCCCCAACCTGCTGCCACTCCCTCACTCATTGTCTATGCAAGCTGATAGATCAAATCCACACACACACACACACACACACACACACACACACACACACACACACACGCCACCATTTTCACTAATGAACTGCGAGTGAAATCCAGTGTTTCAAGGCTACATTTTCTCACAATGCCAGGTTCTTGAAGAGGCTTTTGGCACAGAATCACCACATGGTTCCTCCCCCTCTCTCTCTCACACACACACACACACACACACACACACACACATGATTGCACACAAGGAGAGGACACAGCATGCAATAAGTCCCTTTTCATCAAGTCAATAAAAGCATTGATGTCAGCTTGTAGCTCTTCATAATAGTTTTACACACAAACAGACTCATACCTAAACATGCATGCAAACACACTCACTGGCACACACACACACACACACACACACACACACACACACACACCCCCTCTCTCTCTCTCTCTGCCTCTCACTCACTCACTCTCTCTAGCACACACACACACACACACACACACACACCCTGGCAGCATGACTCCCTAATAAAGCAGAACAGAGCAGAGTAATCCAGTTGAATGACATGGCTGTCCATCCTTCCTCCGCTCCAAATGAAGAGTAATGAAGACAACCGCCCCACGCTGCAACAGCAAGACAACGTACTGCTGCACATCTCACTCATTAGGGAGGGCGAAGCAGGGGAGAGGAGTGGAGGGCAGGAAGAAGATAGAGTGGAGGGGAAGATAATGGAAGATGGCGGAGAACGTGAAAGGAAATACTCAGAGTACAATGACAAGGAACACCCAGTTTCTCACGAATGGAAGCGAGTGAACGCCCAACTGAGCCAATTTAGAAGATTGCCCCATGTGATCCAAAGTGTCATTGCATGTGAAACAATCATAGGATAACCATATTTTCAAACCCCCAAACCAGGACCCTTAATGGACCAGTGTGGAGGATTTAGTGGCATCTGGTGGTGTAGTCCCAATCTAGAGCCAGTGTTTGCTCTGTCCGCACTGGGCTACCGTATGGACATGGCCGGTTCACTTCCTCTGTAGATAAAAACGTCTCATTAGATAGGTAACAAAAGGTAACAAAAACACAATGATTCTTATTTTCAGGTGATTATACACTGATGAAAACAACAGAATGGTGCAAACGTATGCTCTTATGAACGCACGTTACTGTAATAGAGACAGGAAGCAAAGAAAGCAATGAAGGAAAGGAGAGGAGGAGGAGATGGGGAGGGAGAGGGCAACTAATAGAGGATGGGTTAATTAGGAGGATTAAAAGAAGAACAGAAGGATATGGTGAGTGATAGATGGAGTGATTGTAAGACATTGAGATAGATGGGTGGTTGAAGGGGGGACGTATCGATGAATTAATGATAATGAGACTGATTGGATAAGATAAAAGGGAGGGAGGGAGGGAGGGAGTGACGGATGAGTGGTGAGAAGAGTGGTGATGGTGGATAATGAGGGGGCTATTCTTGAAAAAAGAGAGAGAGAAATGAACGTGATGGATAGATAGATGGAAGGATGGAAGGGCATACTTGTAGTTAGATGAAGGGATGAAAAGGGAAAGTGTCAGATAGATAGATAGATAGATAGATAGATAGATAGATAGATAGATAGATAGATAGATAGATAGATAGATAGATAGATAGATAGATAGATAGATGTGGAGGAGAGACATAAACAAACAGATTGAGGAGGAGACGGAGACGCCAGCTAATGTATTTTTATTGAGATAATAAATGGCGAGAGAGCGGAAAGAGAATTATTCTATCAGTGCTTTACTACGAATCATCTGTCTGTCTGTCTGTCTGTCTGTCTGTCTGTCTATCCTTTCTGTGAGTGTGTGTTCGGTGATAGAGAGATCAGCTGTAAGTGAAACAGACCAGGCTGATTGCTGACAGTGATTCACCCTGTGACACACACACACACACACACACACACACACACACACACACACACACACACCTCTCTCATTGTGAAACTCAGATTCACCAACCGTTGTAGAACATCGCAGCAGTGTGAACTGACCCGTCTCAGCTCCACCGGCTGGTTTCAGAACGTAACCCGTTTCAACAGCCAATCAGCTCGCAGCAAAGTCAGCTGATTAAGTCAGTTACAAACTGTCAGCTGGTCGAGACTGCGGTTCTGGTCGGAGGAAAGAGAGGATCACCCAATCAACCGCCATCAGTTGGCGTTCTGACATTGAAATAGCAGAGTAAACACAGGTGTTACCAATCATACTGATTAAGGTTCTCTTCCATTCACAGACAATAGCAGCACCCTGACTCTGAACAGAACCTTCATTAGTATGATTGCTAACACCTGTCTTTACCCTGCTATTTCATGTCAAAATGGCTGCTGTGAAAGACTTTCTATAACAGAGCATTTCACTGATTTCCTGGACATTTTAGACACAGTGTGTAATTTCTACTGGGGGGGGGCTCTCACATGCTTCTACTTCCTCTGACACATCCGACGTATCCCAAGTTATTGCATCTAGAGGCAATAAGGAAAGCAGAATCAGAAATACTTTAATAATCCCAGGGGGAAATGTGCTGTTACACACAGATTTCTCGGGGTTTGAACATTGTTGAAAACATTGACAATAATGTAAGCACACAACTGAATATATAACACAGTTCTAGTCATTTATAGACATATTTACGTGGACATCGATATTATATCTTTAAGCTGCTGTTCGTTCTCTTGACTCTACTGAGCGCAACCACGACACGTTCCGGCTGCGTGGTGGCCAGAGCCGATCGCTGCTGTTCAGACGAAGGTGTGCCGCAATGTGTTTCAGAAGCGGCTGTCCGCTCAGCTCTGCAGAGCCACGGTCACACACGCAAAAACAAAAATATTACACAAAGTCCCAATGGTAAAAAGTAAAAGAAATGTTGCCTATTTATGCAAAAATCAAGGAAGAATCAACAAAATCTGAGAAAGTTAATCAAATCTGAAGGGCAAAACACTCTTATTCTGACACTCTCCCAGTGGGGTAGGAAGCCATGGAGGACGGACACAGTGTCATAAAGCCATAGGTCTCAAGCTTTTTCCTTAAAGGAAGCATTTTTGTTATTGTTGAGTAAACACCTAGACCACCTAGAGTCAGGGTCTGTTTGAGGTTTCTGCCTCTTAAAAGGAAGTTTTTCCTTGCCGCTGTCGCCAAGTGCTTGCTCATGGTGGGAACTGTTGGGCCTCTGTAAATAATTTACAGATTATTTCCTGTGGATATTGACCAGAGATGAGTTTTCCTGTCTGTATTATATATTTTCCAATCGTATACATAGTTCTTCTTTTGATCATTGTTCTATTAGCTCTTTGGTTGTTTTAACTGTGTACTTTTCTAATGCAGGCTGTTTATATGTAACTTATTTCATGTAGTTTTCTTTGCAGAAATAACAGCTGAAATATTCCTCTTAAAAAAGAAGGAGTTGTGAGGCCCTGAGAAGCTTTTGTGGGAATAAAAGTGAATTTCATCTTGGGACAAACTCAAATGGCACTTTCATTAGCAGACCTTTCCGAGGTGAAAGCCTGACACAAACATTCCTCTTTCTGAATAAGAATAAGAAACTAACGGTTTTTGTACGAGTCGAGTGAAACCAGAAATACAGCTGCAGGCTTTTATTCTTATCGTCTTTATCTAAACTCCCCCTAACTCACACTTCAATTTTCTCCTGACACCCATCCTCTCCATCCGCCCTCGTATGGTTATTACTGCACCTTCTCTATATCTTCACCTTCTCCTCTTATTTCTCCTCAAATATTTGCACCACCTTGTCTCTCTCCTCTCCTCCTGATCCTTTCCCTCACTTTCCTGTCCTTCTATTCCTTCCTCCTACCCTTCCTCCTCTTCCTTTTAATAAATCTCTACCCGCTCTCTTTCCTCTCCTCTCCTCTCCTCTCCATTTCCTGGGCTTGAATCAAATCTTCCTCCACCCTCCATCCTCCTCCTCGTCAAAATCTTAATCTTTCTCTCCCTAATCTCCCCCAATATTCTCACTGCCATTTCATTTCCTCCTTCCTCTGCTCTCCTTACTCCTCCCCCTCCTTTCCTGACAAACCTCGATTTACTACATTGCTCTTCTCATCCGCTTGCCTCCCTTCCTTCCTCTCTCCTTCCTCTTCCAGCCTCCTGGTAATCCCTCTCTCCTCCTGCATCACAGGTGAATCTCCTTTAGGGAGCGGGGAGCAGCGAGGGGAAAACGGTTCTCCTCCTCTTCTCTTTCTTGGCCCACATATCCCTCCCCCCCCACTAATGTGTTTTCTCTCTCCTCTGTTCCTCCCCCTCCCCGTCCCCCTCCTCCATTAACATCCATCTTCCCATCATCCTTCCGTCGTAACTCACCTCCACTCTGCTCCCCACTTGCCTCCATTCCTTCCTTCCTGATTATTTCCTCATTTCCCCTCCTTTGCATTATCCCCTCATCCCTTTTTCTCCCTTTCCATACCTCCCTCTTTCCCTCCCTTCTGTCCCCCCAAAAATAATTTCCCACAATCCCTCCCCTCCCCTCCCTCGTTCCCCCATCTCTCTCTGCACCCACAGAGCAGCGCGAGGATCAACATCTCAGAGGGCTCCTGTCCAGAGAGGATCATCACCATCACGGGGCAGACGGACTGTGTGTTCAGAGCCTTCACCATGATCACGTTCAAACTGGAGGAGGTAGGTACTGCACACACACACACACACACACACACACACACACACACACACACACACACACACACACACACACACACACACCTCCCAGCTCCCAGTGGTGTTCCTGAGCTGCTCTGAGTGAAGTGCGTAACCTTTACTTCCTCTACAACATGGCTGCTCCCTGGCAGGAAGCCATTTATTATATGTCTAATGGGATTGTCTGACCTCACACACACTCTTACAAGCACGTGTGCATTCAGGCACACACACACACACACACACACACACACACACACACACACAACGAGTGTTTCTCGGGGAGATTTGACATGAACACTTGGCTCTCTATCTGTCTGTCTCTATTTCCTTGTTTCCTTGCCTCCAATATTCCATTAAACTGAGAGTAAAATGTACTACTACAACAAATTAAAGAAAAAATACTGTTGGATATCTGTTCCCACTTCTGGATGGAGTTGTGTCATGTCTTACAGCACTTATTATTATATTATTTTATATTTTCATGCACCATTATACATAGGAGCTTGCACCCCATGTACAAAGGCTGAGTCCTTGCTGCAGCAGCCCTCAAAGCAAACCTTAAATCTGAACTTAAACTTCAGTAAAACCCACGTTAATATACACAGAATTTCCACAATTAGAACAATGCGTTGTTTTATTTTAACATAACGAGGATTGTTTTAATCCAGCATGGGAATGGCGGACTCCGCCACTAACAATGAAAACCACTAGGTAATTACAGAATTCAAATGTGTTCAGTGTTTGCTGCTGAAAATAAAATAAACAGAACCAGAAACAGGGTTTGATTTCATGAAAAGGATAGCAACTTTGAATGTTGGAAAAGTCAACACTGACTTAAAGTTACAAGACATGTTTCAATATTTAATCAAAGCAACCATCTTTCCTCAACCAAGAGTTAGGGTAGCCAAGTCTTGTAGAGGAGCGAGTGTGTTTAAATGAACTCACATCAAACATATGGATGAAATCAATAGACACATTGTTGATGTTGATGCAAAGTGAAATGTAACAAACCTCTTTAACAAGCAGCGTCCTGCTGGTAAGCCGGTGCTTGCAAACACATGCTGTGCAGCCAAACATTGTTCAAACCCACATAACTGTACCTTTATTTTTCAAACAAATCTCACATAAATCACATTTGAAAACGTGTAAAACACGATGCACAATACATCTAGAATATTTTTATTTAATGTAATGCAGCCATTAAAAAGACATGTTGAGTTAATAATAATTACAGGCAGTTAAAGCATCTTGAGGGGAAACAAAAGTGGAAGAATGTGCTGTATGTTTTTTGATTTGATGATTTACTTAAAGAGAATTAATGTGGTTCCATGTGGGCCGAGCTACACCGAAGTGTCTTGTTGACGTTTAAGAACATGTCGTGTGCTGAGAAATTAAATCCGGGCAGCTGGTATTAAAATCTTAGTGATCCTAATGGAAGAAAACGAGATGGAAATAAAGCGTGAGGGAGGAAGTGGTTAGAGGCAGAGAGTGGACGAAGATTTAAGGAGTGGGAGACGGGTTGCTGAAAGGATTAAAAAAGATATATGAGAGATGAAGGGAGTAAGATGAAGAGGGCATACGAGAGATGGGAGAGAGGGAGGAGGAGGTTTTAAAGAAAGAGATACAGAGATGAGGAAAGAGCTATATAATGAGATTGAAAAAGAGACATTGTGAGAAAGAAGTCGGGAAAGTGTGATCAAGGGATTAAATAAAGACTGTAATCAGGGAGAGTGAGCAGCGCTAAGATCTACAAAGGTAGGAAGAACTCGATTCAAACACGATGTCCTCAGCAGCATGTCGAGGAGGCACTGCCATGTTTCTACCTTTCGTGGCCACCGTAGTTTCTCCTTCACGTTTGTAAGGGGAGGATGAAGCGAGGGGGTTGCAATCTACGCAATTACATCGCTAAATGCCACTAAATCCTACACACTGCATATTTGATACATGTGGGGATTTTATTGGATATTTTCCCCCTTTTTTTTTGATAATCAGGAAAATTGGAATATTAATTGACAATTAAAATCATCGTTATAGTTGCATCCTGCACAACCTGATTTCTCCGAGTACCTGGTTTGTTGTGCGTAAGATATAAGGCCAATTATATGAATGTTGTGCCACCCGCATGCTAATCAGTGGCAGAGGTAGAGTGTGTGTGTGTGTGTGTGTGTGTGTGTGTGTGTGTAATACAGAATAAGACAAAGACAGAAAATTATAAGAAAATACAAATTAATGGAATCTGAAAGTTGGTAGCTCATAAACAGATTATCTAAATCAATGAGGAGAGATGCTGTTAAGGAAAGTGGGAATAAAGGAAAGATTAAACAAAATGGAGCAGGAAATTCTGAAAAGAGAAACTAACTGATCTACTTTGGGATAAAGTGAGAGCGCGTTAGAAAGAGGAGCAGAGAGTATTAAAGAAAATGTGTAATGAGAAACAGACGTGTCTATCTATATCAGAACGTGTAGTCATTTCCCATCTTGTTTATGGCTACACATCTCTCCGCTGCAGCTCATTTTGCAATGCAGAGTAAATATAGATGGAATTTACAGCTTTATTTATCCAAAGAAACACACCGGGGACTTACGCAGCCAGCAGTGTTCAAAATAAACCCTAAACCATCTTTCTCACCCAAAGCCGCACACACACACTTTCATACTGGACATCAGTAGACACACAACCTCTCTTCTGGAAAACGTATAATCGGCCTTCTGCAGAAAACTTTGCCACGATCAAGAAAATCAGAATCTGCCATTGTACAAAGCGTCTCCCTTAGCTTTCACTTCGTGTCATCCAACAGTCTCTGCATGTGTGGGACATTGCTGGCTGTCAATTACTGTGACGAGAACACGCGCAAACAGGAGAAAGACTTCTGCGTGACACACTGATATAAATAAATATGTGCTGGGTGTTCCTACGGAGCGAGGGAACCATGTATTCAGATCACGTCCGTCTGATTGGCAGCCCAGACAACGCAACACTGCTATTTACATTTCAGATGCAACGAGGCCACAAGTCCGGCTCGGCCTAATTGATCGAACCAATTGCATTAAGAACAGGTGATTTGGGCCGCTATTTATTACCCGAGTTAATTAAAGGGAGTGAGAGAGCGAGAGTCTTAAAGAATGAGTGGAGGGGGGGGGGGGGATTCAGGGAGAGCAATATGGAGAGAAAAAGGGGCTTTAAGCTGCCAAAGGGGGAGATGTTGAGGGAGAGAAAGCAAAGAAATGAAGACAGGAAGAGCTGCTGAAGGGGGAATGGGAGGATGCAATTAAAGAGAGAGAGGATGAGAGAAGCCTTTTCTGACTAATGGACAATAAAGAACAGCAGTTTTAGGAGATGGAAGAGTAAAGTAGAAGGGTGGAAAAGCTGAGGTTAGAGAGAGGTGAAGCCGAACGGCGGTGTTCAGACCAGCAGGGTGGAACAGCAGGACTTCATCTAAAATCTGATTGAAACTGGCAGCACGGGATCTTTCTTCATAAAGATTTTAAAGGCAGGGCTTTGATTCACTGTGAAGATCCATGAACCAGGGTTGGGGAGCACGTTTTGGGTTGGTGGGGGGGTTGTGTGACCCGAGTGGTTCATTTATTCACACCACTGCAGAAGAGTCATCTGTGAATAACCAGTTTTCTTTTGTTCTATGCAAACACGATATGATCCTCAGCATACAGATAATGTCTTTAACAGAAAGGCTGTTCCCCGAGTCGGCTCACATTTTATCAGTTGTAGCCGAACTTTTGTTTTGTTGCCTCAAAATGACCACAAACCACAAAACTAACTGTGATGGAAGCCGAACAGAGTGATAGTTAACGGAGGGCAGCTGACTGTGAGCAGGCAAAAAGAACAAACAAAAACAAACTACTTGGATAAACTTCACCCACCTGCTGCAGCACCCTCAGCTCCTCCTTTACGGCTGCCTGAGAGAGTCGGTGTGAAACCTCCTGAGGACCAGTCTGACCTGCATCAATCAGCTCTCAGTGAAAGCTTCCCGCGGTACTCACAGTAGTTTACTCTCATTGCAGTGGAATCACAAATTAGTTTACTCGTTTGAGCAATAACCTGAATCATACAGCGATATTACTGTAATGACTCTAAACAAGTACACATACAACCATATTAGGACCTGACTTTCAGGTTTTCTGTGTTAACATGCTGAAGGATGCAGGAATTCTCTCAATGGATCCATTTCCTGAACGCTCAGATGTTCTCTGGTCTACATGGAGGCTCATAAAATTCACTTTGAAATGTCAGGTTGTTAGTGATATGAAACCAAAGCATTCAGAGCATTTAGAGCATGCAGAATATATTTTCTTATTATCCTGACGTGAATACTGTCTATTCATCAAATTACAAAGAACACAGCAGAGGGAGGAAGGAGGGGGACGTGAGTGGAAGAAACAGGGAGAAAGTCAAGGTCAGAGAGTGAGCGAGACGGAGACATTTGACCAGAGCAAATATAGTCTGTGATCTGCATTGGAATTAAAGGAATGACAGACAAGTGTGGAAGTTGTCTGTTCAGTCAACCCTAACCTTTTGCTGGAGCACCGACCTTACAGAGAGAGAGAGAGAGAGAGAGAGAGAGAGAGAGAGAGAGAGAGGGATTCTTCTCTGCTATCTTTCTTTTTGTTTGTTTGCTGTTTCCCATCTGAAATGGGAATAGGGTTAGGGTCTGAAATTTGAAATTTGCCTGCTTTTTCATTGAAATAAACCACAAGAAACACCACTGAATTTTCTGAATTGAGGTCTGTTTTTTCTCAGCTCATAATAAGTCAACGATTTGGAGATACGAGAAAAGAAAAAACGGCAGATTGATCCAAGTAATAAGCAGCTAATGAACTATCATCTACGGGAGCAAAATATGTCATAACTAACTATTATTAATGAATATATTAGCACCCAATCATTTGCTGTTAATTAAAGGACCACTGTGTAGGGTTAGTGGGAGCTAGGTCCAGGTCCACATCAAGGTCGCTTCACCCTCCCGTTCCAAGCCCGAAGGAGAAACTATCGGGGACTTGAACTGTGTATAAAGTGTTTGGTTTGTCCCTTCTGGGCTACTGTACGTAGAACCATACATGGCGGTTCAACATGGCGGACTTCACTGAAGCTCATTCTAAGTTAACAAAAGCACAACAAGTCCTACATTTGTGTGATTATACACACATAATATTCCATTTCTGCCAATAGATCCTTCTAAATCTTAAACACTGGAACCTTAACAACATGTTTAAACACTACTTGGACTCTCCATTGGTTGCCTGGCAACTGCTCAGAGCCAAGAACTAGTCCAGTACATAAATCCCTGTTTTGTCAACATGTTCTCACTCCCAATCAGTCCAAAATACGACGCTGTATGTATCCGTCTTGTGCTGCTAAAGTCCTGTGTTTGATTGAGCCATCCATCCTCCACACCACCTCCACATGTGGACTTTCTCTCTCTTTATACTACATCACCTGACTTTGAGGGCGGGTGTGTCCAGAAATGACACTAGAGAGATACCTGTGGGGGCTTGTTTGTCCAAACGTTGCTCCACAGCACTACCAGTGGTCAAAAACTTTTCTTTATGCACTATAATCATTTATCATCATATTCTACAGTAAAATTACCAATTTAGTACCTTCAGAAAAATCATACAGTGCAACATAAAATATCCATAGTGTAGCTTGTAATCGACTATTAGTGCTAGAAATCCCAAAATGCAATGCTTTGCTTTTGACAGATGTGCAACTAACATTTAAAACTCTCAGTGCTGATGCAAAGTGATGATACTGAAAAGTTTCAAGTGTTAATCGTGGGAAAGAGGGAGTGTGTGATGAATATCAGACGCAGCCACGGTGTAAAACAGAGGAGAAGTATTAGGGAACATTTCCTCTCAAGTTACTGCATTAATACCTTTTGCTGCTTCTATTTTCATCCTGCACTTTGCCCTTTTGTTTTGCTGTGCATTCATAATCCTCGTGTAGAGATGATAAAAGCCGTCTTTGCACTGAAATTCTTCCCCGTCTCTTGTTTTTGAAGTTAAATTGCTAAGTTATGACTGACGTACAGTTAGAACAGATAAAAAGATTCATCACTGATTGTCCCCTGTTCACCTACACATTTAGGCAAATCTAATTTAACTACATTTAAAGCAAATATTATAGATATTATTTGTAAAAAAGGAACAAAAATTCCAATAGTAGAGATTTTACTGCTCTCAGATGTTACCGATTAAATGAAATAACACAGTGTGGTAGGCACCGATCAGATCAGATCATAAAGTCCATCTATCTCTCTTTCTCTCTCTCTCTCTCTCCCTCTCCCTCTCTCTCTCTCTCTCTCTCTCTCTCTCTCTCTCTCTCTCTCTCTCTCTCTCAGGACCTGGCAGCCCTGGTAGCCAACGGCACAGTGACCAGCAAACCTCCAGTCACCTTGAGGTTGGTCATCCCTGCCAGCCAGTGTGGCTCTCTCATCGGCAAGGGCGGCTCGAAGATCAAGGAGATCAGAGAGGTGAGTGTAGATTTTACAGCACATTATATGTTGTGGTCCTAACCCTAACCCCCCCCCAGCAGACAGGTAGAATCACTGATGAGCTCCCATATTTAGATCTTTCATGACGAATGTCTTTGACCCCCACTGGATGCTTGTCAAACTGAAACCTTGTGGAATAAATCAAAATATTCCTGGAAAAAAGAAAGCGACCTTTTTAGTGTTTAAAATCCACAGACTGAACAATAATAGGAACAGAAACGCAGTGTCAAATAAGTCCTTGAAAACTTCACAAAGGCTGCCGCTCAGGTAAATCTTATTAAGCTGAATGTTAAATAGCAAACCTGACCATCATGCCGTTATATGCTTGTTTCCATAGTAACATGAGTTAACTAACCAAGGTCTGAAGACATATTAAGTGAATAAATTCCAGATGTATTCAAACTTCAGAATGATTTAATGTGGCGTGGAGGAAGACTCCAGGATATTTGCTAAACACCATAAAACTACGACTAAATTCACTTTCATTCACTCTGACTGGCTGTCTAAACTTGGCTCACTTCATCACCTCTATTAATACATGATCTGACACATGACCTTATGAATTATGAACAAAACCACAAATGTTCATACAGCTCATAATTCCTGTCAGACCTTTCCTGCTCACACAGACTCTTCTTTGTTTCCCCTGCAGCTTTTAGCATCTGACAGCATGTTTTCTGCACAGCTTGACTCGACTTACATTATGTTTTTAGGCAGGCAGAGAATAACTGCTCTGTGTGTGTGTGTGTGTGTGTGTCTGTGTGTGTGTGTGTGTGTGTGTGTGTGTGTGTGTGTGTGTGTGTGTGTGTGTGTGTGTGTGTGTGTGTGTGTGTGCGCAGACGACAGGTGCCCAGGTGCAGGTGGCAGGTGACCTCCTCCCCAACTCCACAGAGAGAGAGGTGACGATATCGGGGAACCAGGACGCCATCATCCAATGTGTGAAACTCATCTGCACTGTAATCCTAGAGGTGTGTATCCACGAGTGAGCAGCCGGGGGGTAGTGTGTGTCCAGTCGTACGTGGATCTTCATCTGGTCGGGCTCACAGAAAAATCTAAGCAACAAATAAATATCTGTTAAATTGGCTGTGAATAAAACAAAGGAGAAATGAGCATCTTCATCCTCATTTCACCCCTCAGTACTGGCAGTTGGTATGACAACAGAAACAGACGGGGTCGGCACTCTGTAATCATAGATCTCAAACTGTTTTATGAAACAACTTTTCGCAGAAATCTTCGTCAGGAAACAAGGGACCAACAATTAAATGTGACTGAACACACACTCCTCAGGCAGAGTCGCAGCTCTGCCCCAAATGTCTTATAACTGCACCAACGCAGCCAAATTAGTTCGAAAGAAAATGGAGCCGTGTTTATTACACCTCATGCTGCTGAGCAGGTAGTGTACAGTGGATTGTTACCGCGAAGTAAAGCTGTGGCCGGACGATTAAACAATGAGCTGAAACTCACTATAAAGCTCTGTAAAGATGAGGGGGGCTGCAGATTCGGGTGCTAATTTTCTGGAGGTTTAAAAGTGATGTTGCAGTTTTAGTTACAGACATTTCATATGATTATATCGCCGCCACAGACAGCCGTGCAAAATTCAGTGACACAAACATGAGCTTCACTCCTCCCTGATACATTTTTTATGATCAAGCCCAATGACAAGCAAGACACAAAGCTTTTTTTCTGATGCAACTTTATGCTAATTATGAAACAACGATGTGAACAGAGCTGCAGAGATTCTTTTATGAATTCACATTCATCCCACAAAAGCACTCACTGAGCTCAGTGAAGATGTCTACCTGTCTGCTCTCAATCACATAAAAGTGTCTTTACGAGATACCGTCCACCTTTCCAATAATCTTCAAAATGGAAACACTGAAATCTATAATTCATGATTGCATTATAATTAATCAGAGGCAGCAGTCATTAAGATGAGCTACGTCTTGGAGATTAGAAGCGGAAACAGTGAAATCAAAGGCTGTGGGAGCTCATTGATATTCCAAGCACCTTAATCTGGGATGAGAAAGGAGGAGTGAAAGAGAGAAAAGAAATAAAATTGCTGACCTTAGCTCAACTCATTCACTTTCAAGTGCTGGTGCAGTCAAAGAGTTTACTCTCCATCCCCAAGTTCCATCCCTCCATTCACACATTCGTCTGTTTGATCCCAGATGAGAAATCTTTTGATCTCCTTGTGCGCTCCGACAGATTGTTGTCTGCCTGTCTTACACCCAGTGCATGCTGGGATAGGAAACATTCTGACCCGTGATCAAGCTTAATGAATAAAAATGTATGTTTCTCGGTTGGCTCAGTCGGTAGAGCTGGCGACCCATATACGGAGTTGCTGCAGTGACCCGGGTTCGAATCCGACCTGCAGCCCTTTGCTGTGTGTCATCCCCTCTCTCTCTACCCACCTTTCCTGTCGATCTTCAGCTGTCCTATCCAATAAAGCCATTAAAAGGCCAAAAAATAACTTAAAATAAATAAAATAATAATGATTGTGTCTGTGAGGTCTTGTTGTCCGTGTGCAGTAGGCCTGTACACTCATCCTGCGTCTCACTCTCTGGTTTTAGATAAACCCTGAGTGTCTCTCAGTCACTTGGCTACTACGTGAATAATGTTTACCGATATAAACAGAGCGAAATGTTAGTTTTTACTGTGCCAAACAGATGTTAGTGGCTGTAGTAATTATCACTCTTGTCTTTTGGGAGTGACGGCTAACTTGACTGTGGAGCTTTGTGCGTCCAGAAGTTACAGTAGAGGGAAACCTACAGCGTCATATTGTGTCATGACTGATCTTTTGATTAAATGTTGTGTTTGGTGACGGATGTGAAATAAGACAGATTTCAGAAAATATTCAGCTAATAAAGTGAAATCCAATCCAGACTTTTAGGTTGTGAGGATGTCTGCGTCTGCAGGGACAGAATGGGTTCTTCTCTGCATCTCACACAAAGTCAGTCACAGATATAGTTCAGGTTTCATCAAAACGGTATCTTTTAATGAGCTCATTGTCATCAACCGCTCCGAAAACGTCTCTCCTAAATATCAGCACAGATACTATGTGAGTCATTTCTTGTGGAAAACAATTTTATTCCAAAAAGTAGAACAAGATATACGTCACTCTGAGAATTGTTGGTCAGTTAGGACTGATTTCTTACTCTGAGACCCTGATTCTTCCTCATGTCTCATTTTCTTTCTGTTTGTTTTCCTTTCTCAATCCTTCTTTAATCCCTTCTTGTCTTTAGTCTCCACCAAAGGGAGCGACTATTCCATACCGACCCAGCCCAACCCCAGGAACTGTGCTGCTGGCAGGAAACCAGGTAAGAGTCACCAGATAAATCCCAACAACAGAGAACTAAACATTAATCAAAGCTGCATTATGTCGGTCCACATGGCTATGAACTTCTGTGTTTTGGATGCTTATGTTCCAGCATAAAGATGTGTTCAGGCCAGGACTCTTGTGTGCGTGGGAACTTTGACCGTGTACAGTCAAGTTACAGCAACTTCCTGTTTCATGGCAAGACATCATAATTGAACGCCACGCCACAGACACACCATTCAACCAAGCCTCAGAAGGTTCACAGTGCAACATCGCAAAGGTCTTTAAATTGCATTGACCCAATTGGAAGTCAGTCCGGTTAACTGGCTAGAAGTAGTTTGTTACAACACCAGTGCAAAAAAATTTTCTACTGATTTTGGTCCATCTGAAACATGTTGTAAGGGTTTCTTCGCTGACATTTTCTAGGGGCCCATTTTGCCACATCCATGCGTACATTTTCACCAGTACTGACATGTGTGCTCAATTTTAGCCCCTTAAAAATGTGATTCGCTGCTCGGGCCCTAATTGTACCATCTCTATATGTTAACGAAGTTAAATCAGCAGGCTACACGATGGCAAATAAATGATGGATTAAGTATACGGATTTGCACAGGAACTCTGATGAAAAGAAAAGGGGGGAAGAAGACAACAGTGTGATAGTTAAGTGGAAGAATAAAGGGAAAGATGGATGGAAACATTAAAAAGGAGGTTTATGGAGAATGGGAGGAGGGCAGCAGGAGGAAGGGATGCTGGGGAGGCACGGGTGGACGGATTAATGGGTCGGATAGATGTGTGGATGGAGGGGATTCTAAGGAGGCAAGAAGCAATGATGGATGGATGTAGGGGAGGATTGAGGTGAAGATAGAGGAACGGACGGATGAATGAGCCGATACATAATTTATTGTCAAAGAATTTGCTTTAGTTTGCAATTTGCATCTTATAGAAAATGCCCACTTGGTTGCTTTGCCTTTTATTGACACACAACACACACACACACACACACACACACACACACACACACACACACACACACACACTTGTTAAACGTCTCTTTGGTAGGTGTCATGCATTGTGAAAGGCAGCTCCTGTCACTGAGCAAACCAATAGGATACAAATGAGGCTTTTTCATGTTTATTCATTACAAATCATTACAGTTTGTGTGTGTGTGGATGTTAGAGAGGTAATGATGGTTTGTGTGTGACTGTGTGTGTGTGTGTGTGTGTGTGTGTGTGTGTGTGTGTGTTCACCAGCTGTGATATTATCATCATCTTCAGCATGAATATGCAGCAGAGTATGCCTTGGTTTCGTTATAATCGACCCTTCCTAAGTCCCGCCCCTTTTTGCTTTGTTCTCCAATAACAGTTGAGCAAGTCTCAACTTTCTCCTTTCCCTTACGCACATTTACAAATCCTACTACGGTGATGGCTTTACTCTGACTCCCCATGCCTAAACCTAACCAACCATAACCAACCCAACCAACAAAGGCAACAAGTATAGCCAATTAGAGGCACGGAGGCTGATGAATTTGTATTTTTTTGCATTTAGTTTGGTAATTGTCTTGCTTGTCAGCCCCTTTCTGTCAGTGTGTGCTAAATAAACTGTCTGCTTTCTCACTATTTCATTCTGCCGTGGTCCGACCTCCAGCTGCTGTGACAGTTTGTCAGTATAATCATATTAACTCCTATTTCTGTTGATTACAATGTCCACTGGGGCTGTTCAGAGCTGAAGCTGATTATACCAGTAACTGATTTTAATATATTGCCGTATGGCATTGATTTAGGTTATTAGATGATATGATTGAAGTAATATAGTCAAGAATGGAAAAGAAAATCAAGATTGCCTTTGTTTACATCAATTTACAACCTTATTGAGCTAAATAATTCCTAGACTGTTTCTCCAAGATCCCAGTGGCCTGAAGCAACCTTTCAGTCTTTCTTCCTGGGGCTAGGAGATAGAAACGATATAAACACTCATCACAATAGAACATTTTCTGCTGCACCGCTTAACAAAGGATTAATAACCCAATCACAGCACGGAAATGAAGCTGTTTCTAAATAATCATGGCAATCTTCGAGGAACAGACAGCACCTACATCAAAGCTGAGCTAAACACACCACATGCTAATGTTTTGGCATTAAAAGTCACTTAGTTAGACGGAGGAGACGGGCGGTTAAAGGTTTCACTTATTGAAACATCTGAAGATCTAATCAATGCCAGAACATTGGATCATTGTTTTAGATGATCTGCCTGTAAGACTCCTTTGACTTTTCCTGTAGCGCCACCACAAAGATTACAACGATGTGTTCTAATTTGATCACCAGCTGTTTTAAAGTGGAGGAGGAAGCGTGCATATAGATCCCGCAGTGTCGCTGTAGTCACTGACAGGAAGGTAGACTGCATCTATTTCTAAAAAAGAACCCAAGTTTCAGCCTCAACGTGCGTTCTGAAGGCATCTTTTCATCAATAAATACCACCAAGTACTTGTAGGATGTTCTTGGATATGAACTGGTACTTCTTCCCCTGATCTAAAGTTGTCTGCGAGTTAAACTGGGGCTGAATTTTGACCATCCAAATATACTGATCTGGTTTGGCCCCAATTAGCCCTTTCCTCACAAGTATTACCAAAGTCAAAAGTCCTGAATCTTTAACGATTCTTCCCTGTAGGTTTTACAAAGTACCTTGAGCTCTGAGAAGTTTTCATGGATGGAAACTCTGATGCTTAATTGGTTGAATCTTGCTGTGTGCACTCAGCCTGAGCGGTGCATCGGAGCTTAGCGGTATGCAGGTTGTCATTCGGTCAGTTCGAGCTGCGGATGATTTTCCCTGAGAGAGTGGCACAACTGAGATCTGTCTGTCCTTGGTCACACATCGTTGGACTGTAACAGAGATTGTTTGGAGATTGAATACTACCAGGCTCTGAGGTGTCACTGTCGTCAACAGTGGATAACTGTCCTGAATACTGAGGACATGTAATAATGGAGCTTTGGCTTAGTTCCTGTTTCAGCAGCCTCAGAACTTATAAAATCATCCTCATGTCATTGAAAAGTAATCAATACTACACTAAAGAAAATTCAATAAAACAAGGTCACTTTTAACTTCATGGTGCATCACAAAGTCTCTGGCAGTAATGTGTGTGTGTGTGTGTGTGTGTGTGTGTGTGTGTGTGTGTGTGTGTGTGTGTGTGTGTGTGTGTGTGTGTGTGTGTGTGTGTATGTGTGTGTGTGTGTGTGTGTGTGTCATTGCTCAGCTTGATTCCAGATAATTTCAAAAGCTCAAGATAGAAATCTTGGTGCCTGAATAGATTTAGGTCTGAGCATAAGCCGCCACATCAAAGCAACAAATAAATCAGCATTTTATCACCTCAAACAGAAAGAATGAAAGAATCTCATGTCCAGATAATTAGATTTAGAGAAACTATTGTAACGTTCTCTTCTCTAGTCTTCCCAAACCTTTAGACAAATGCAGCACATTCAGGACACCCTTTAACAAGAACCTCCGGTTCTTCTGTACACTGCCTTCCAGTTAGCTACAGAATAGATTTAAAGTGCTGCTGCTGCTTCATGAATCACTTACAAGATACATTTTCAGCTCTTTAGGAAGCCGGTCTCACTCCCAACTCGTCAATGACTGCAGCTTATTCAGTGGCTCTTCGCTCTAAAATATGAAGCTGTAGGTATCACAGTGCCCTGAGTGCTGCTCGTTCTATGACTCTAAGGGATTCCTACAGTGTCATACTTTGAAGCGAAGCGGAGGGCCACTGACCAAACGGCAGTATTTGTCGAGATGGGGGTGAGACCGCGTTGAGACGGATGGAAACAACCTCCTGATGATCTTAAATGTGCCTTAACTTCATACTGTTAAATCATTTTAAACTCTCCTCACTCCCCAACGGTCGAATGGTTAAGTCCTGTCAATCTATCAACTGTCCAATAAAGATGAAAATGCAAATTTTTTTTTTTAAATGTTGTTTCAATGCACCTCTTCTAATGTAAAGCCTTTGAATTCCCTTCTGTGTTTGAGAGGCGCCTCATAAGAGAGTGTCTATATCTGTCCAATTTATGGGGAAAAGACAGTGGGATCAGAACTCTAAACAGAACCATCCTGACATGGCCACTGTATCCCTGAGACTCTGGTTGGGTTAACTCGGTGCTGCACCAGCTCCACCTATCCCACTGTGTGACTATTTCCCCTCAGGGATCAATAAACTATTCTTTCATTTCTGTTCTGTTCTCGCTCATCTTCTCATCTGCTAATAAACAGGAAACTAAATGAACTTCTTATCTATTTTGGATTATTGGATTTGACTTAGGCTGCCTCATAATACTACAAAGTAGCAAGAGCAGCAAAAGTGCAAAAAATAAATTAATAAATGAATAATTTTAGCATTTATTGGATGATTTTCATGAACTTTAAGCTGTAAAATGTTCACATCTGTAGTTGGGATCATTACATATAATATATAATAATGTAAGTTCAGGATTTTCTCAGATCTACCAGAAAGTAAGAATGAGTTAAACCAGAGGGGTGTTTAATACACACATGTCGGGCAGGAAATTGCAGCATGACCTGCTGTCAGTCAGTAGAATTTGATTTCCGCATGTGTGTCGGTGTCACGGATGATGATGCAGGATGCGTAGTCAGTAAATTAACCTGTCAGTCTGTAGAAGTTGTCTGTAAGAAGTCAGCGTGAACATGAACCAGACCAGAACTACCAGTGGATCCAGAGGAATAAAACTACAGGTGTGAAAGTGCCCTAAGAGTAGCACTCTGATTCATAAATAGATGCGATAAATGATGTGTTTTACTGGACTGTTGTGCAGTGACAAGGTTTTTGATGAGCTCTAACTGTAGTGTTGACTCTGCTTGTGTCCCGGCTGAAGGTGTTCGAGGCGTCAGATTTTGGCTCTCACCCCCTGTTCTCAGTGGCACAGGGAGGAGTGGACCTGCAGCAAGTGAGTATGGCCGCCTGGGGGCACGGGGCGAGGGTCAAAGGTCACATCATTTCTGTCTTTATTCATCTACTAACAAGCTGCATTGACCAAAGATATAAAATCACATATAGAGATTTTTAAAAAATGTTACCTTTATGTATGTTTTCAATTAAACGACTGCCTTAAATCCTAAACCTAAATTAAGAAATATCCCATTTATCGTCATTTTCACATCACAGGCCTTAAATTCTCAAGACAGCCCCATACTCAAATAAATTGATCTTTATTTCATTTTGGAAGAAATCTCTTCACATGTTGCCTTGAGCTGTGCAGGTAAACTTCCTTCAGCCTGGGAAGGAGACAAAGGACCTGAATTCAATCACACTGCTATTGTGCTGTGAATTCACACACCGCTGCAGCCGGCAATGACATCGTAAAAACAGATGGTCAGAGTGGTCAAGGATCCCAGATTAACACCTCTGCACAGAGAGGCTCAGTAAATATGACACTGCTTCTTCATGTGAAAAGCTAAAAAATACAGGGACGTGACCAAGGTTGAGTAAAGATGAAGGCCCTGGAGCGAACACTTAGAGATAGAAAGAAAAAGGAAGGAAGGTGATGGAAAAATACAAGATGGAGAGGGAGGAAATAAAAGTGAGAGATACAAGAAAGAAAATGAAGGAGAAAAGGAAGAGAAAACAGATTGAAGAATATCTTCAGCCGCATCGGTTTTATTCCGCCTGCTGAGATTAATGGCTGTTAAAAGCAGAGAGAAGTCAGCCGCCACACACTCGATACCTCAACCCTAGCAGGAAGGATTATTACCATTTCCTCATGCGATGTCTGACTGGTCTGAAAGCAGCCTGAAGACCAAGTGAAAATGGAGTAGATGTCTTCTTGTAAAACATCCATCTACAATAATTGCAAGATTGAACTGGGAGATATTCTGTGCTGAGATTTGAGGTACAAGAGGGAGCTCCCACCGAGCACATTGTGCTCAGATGGTCTCAACACGTCTGCACACGGTGCTAATGATTCCTGTACAGCGCAGCGAGCGGGGCCGCTATCAATAGTAGAATCATAGTATTATCATTTTAATGCTTATATTACTTTAATAATGCGCTTCAGAGCTGTGTGGCTGCTTTGTGATGGTTAAAGAGGAACTTAAGATGAGCTGTACACATACATAGATTATTGCTGGTATGTGATGTTAATACAGCTACAGCACATCACTGTGGAGAATATAAGATTTATTCCTCTTCAGTGGCAGTGAACACAACACAACAATAACTATCAGAGCTGACAACCAGCAGGGCTACCACTACAGACCAGGGGGACTCCCCCTCCCCTAAACAGCAGTGGCTAGTAGTCTAGCCTCTGCTAGCTAGGCTAGCTATGGATTCCTATATAATAATTTATGATTATTAGGTTCAAATATGTGATGCAACTTGAGACATTTTCTTTTCTTCTTTTGTGTAAAGTAAAGATTGCTGAGGCAACAAATCTTGGTTAGTGTTAGGAAAATATAATGGTTTAGGTTACCCACATGTTAGAATAACGTTCTGGCAGGAATCTTCTCCCAGTTGTGTGAGCCTCCTGGCGCCTGGCCCGTCGTAGCGTTTGGGACCTAAATGTGCTTTTAGTGACTGTAAAAGCTCCACTGGACCTTCTGTGTTTGACACGGAGAGTCCAACAGTAGCTGCTCATGACTGCCAGCACAGCAGGAATACACGACGCTATCCAAGCTTCTGTGTTCGGTGATCAGTGTCCCCCCGTGTCCCCCCACCCCCGCAGGGTCTAACAGATGTTTGCACCCCCACCCACCACCCTGTCCTTTGATGCATGTTTTGAATATGCTGTGATGCATTTTTGAATATGCTGAGAGTGAGGGTCCTCGCAGGATATAAGGGTGTTTTTACTCTTTTTTTCTGAATTGCACCTGCACCAAGAAACAGGCAGATTTTATTTGTCATTAATCTCTGCAGGTTGTGCTGGAGCTGTTTTAGGACAGTGTGATGAATTGTCTGTGTGCTGGCAGTACATCACAGTGTAGGTCAGGTCAGGTTCATGCAGTTATGTTAAATCTACTCTTGTGGCTTTTAGACATTTGTTTTCCTCTAGAGAAACACACTTGACAAAATGATTACCTGCTTTGTCAACTGTTTTTTTTGGACTTCTTTATCTGAAAGACATAATTTATCAGATATCTTCCTTTTTGAGTTTCATAATAATCATCCATTTCACAATGTCTCTTTTGTGTTTATAAATGAAACCTGTCATTTTATCAGAACTTCAAACACATTTGAATTGAATGAAATTGACTCTGCTACTACTGGAATCCCCCCCTTAACTCTGCAAATACTGCTGCACAAATAGCGTTCATGTCAAGGGCAAGGCAGGGTGTTTAGATCAGACCATCTATAACTGAATGGTCTGAAGTCAGTTGTCAACAGCTAGTGTGTCACTGTCATTAGCTGAGTGTCCTTCAACGAGCCACCGAACCCACAATCAGTGCTTCCATTTATTTCAAGTCAACGGAGGGTCCTCGGGTCAAACTCCTTGTGCATTTAAATACTTTTCATCAAGCTGCAGAGAGTGGTCATCATTTCATGGCCTCATACAAAATATAAATATCCCTGTTCAAATCCATGCTCCTCATTACAACATTCTGCTTTTCCTGTCTTCTACCTTTGCCGAAGAAAATGATGGTGTGATGGTTTGTCACTGCTAACTAATATTAGCCCTATCGCAGCGAGGCTAAACTGGGAAGGCATTTGATCGACAGCACAGAAAAACACAACACTTTGTGATAAGAGTGAAGATTTGGACTGAAGTGACAAACTGAATGATCAGGATACTTTGTTTTAGCTGAATTACTCATTTATATGTTTGATTTTTATGTCATTGCACATTCACTTACTTTATATTTTGAAACTCTCTCAAATGTTAATCTTGACTTTTTATTATCTGCTTGTGGGCAATAAATTATGGTTTATGGTTGAGGAAGTAAAACCATGTGGTTAAGGTTATAGAAAGATCGAGGTCACGCTATAATAACAGAAAAGGTTGTTAAGCGTTGAGGTGGGATGTGAACGCAGGATGCTGGTGTTGTCAATCATATCAACCATTCCAGATGTACTGTAGCTATTTTAGAGAGCACATTGCTAACATACAGTTTCAACTAATTACCACAGAATCTAAATAAAAATAGATAACGTTTACAATCATTTGAAAGTAAAAGAATAGGGATGGGAATCGAGAACTGGTCCCATTTGACGATCCATCAGAATCATATCCCTCCGAGCTTATCGAATACATTTACACTGCAAAACAATGACGTCAAACTCTCGTGTCTACACTGCGGTAAACTTGCAACAAGAAGGAGTCATGGCAGAGAAGTTGAAAGTGGTAGGTGCCGGACTCCTAGGCCTTTATTCCACAAACAATCTGACCAATAAGCAGAATTATTAAAGGTATTGGGTGTCATATGGGTTATAATAGAGTTAGATGACAGCCCACTACATCTCAAACAGAAAGGGTACCGTTGTGTCTGTATGTAAAGGGACATGACAAAGCGTTGGTATTTGACTCTCTGGGAATGAAAATGTACTGGCTGTATTCTACATGACACCGGCGGCGTGTGTATTAAATGCTTTGGCGTGATACCGGCTTGAATTAAGAGGCAAAACTCAACAAGCTGACTGACCTGGAGACAGATTCACACTGGCAGAGACTCACACGGAAAGGTTAACATCAAGAACCTGACTGACTTTAATGCAGGTAAACTGTATGTGTTAAGAGACACATGACCGGACAAAGCAGACAGATTGACAGAGTGACTTACAGACAGACTAGAGGAGGAGCACTTTCATCCATCACGCTGACAGCTCCGTGTGCTCGAGAACTTTAGCCAATTTGTGTGTGTGTGTGTGTGTGTGTGTGTGTGTGTGTGTGTGTGTGTGTGTGTGCGTGTGCAACACTGTTTGCCAGGCACAGGGCCTTGGGAGTGTCAGTTAAAACAGCAGTAACACTAGCTAATGGAGGCTCTACGGGACTGATGGGAGGAGAGAGGGAGGGAGGAAGTGACAGGCAGAGACCAAAGAAGAGAGGGAGAGTCTGGGGGAGGAATAAGCTCTCCACTTGTGGCAGTCGATCTGTCCTCCAACCATAGCTGCTGCTATCTATGGGTGGAAAGGAAATATGTGAGATGTACAATTTTGTTCAAATGTAAGTAAATTGTTCCCTAGGGTTATTTAATTCCATATTTAAGCTGCTACAACTTGACAAACCTTTTCCACTGCAGAACAATACAAATGTTATCAGTGCGACAATGCACATAGATTACCAAGGCCATTACCTTTAATAGACATTGTCAATGACGTTCCAGTTTCATTGACAGAAAGAAAGAATTCATTTAATTTTAATCTCTTAAATTCCAGGAGTGAAGTAGCTCTCCAATTTGAGCAAGAATTTGTCCTCAAAATGAAATAATTTTTAACTGCCGAACTAGAACGAGACATACAGAAGTTTTTTCTGATCTGACTTCTCTATCAGCAGGATGACATCGTGTGTCCGTTCTTCCAATCACTGTTAATCACTAAAATCAATAAAATGAATCTGATGTGACAACAGTAAAGGTTTGGTTTAGGTACAAAACCAACTTTTGGGTAAGAATAAGTTACGGTTAGGTTCATCTCCATGGTTACAATAGTAAGACTGGGTTAAGGCTTGTGAATAATGTTTGTCGGGTTTAAAACAACCAACGTTGAATGTTGGTTGGGAACAGGAAACAAATTGTTGTGTCTCGTGTTAAAGGTTGTAACACTTCATGTCGCACCAGCATCTCAGACCAAAACGATGGGACAGAAATGGAATAAAACTGTCCACTGTTCGGCTCCGATTGTTATTCTAAGTGTGACGTTATGGAAAGCCTACAGAGACAGACCTTTAGTTTGACCAGAAACAGCTGTATTATCACTCACCACTACTACCGTATCATCATAGCCTTGTAACTTCATTAA